TCCCTTCCCTTCCCTTCCCTTCCCTTCCCTTCCCTTCCCTTCCCTTCCCTTCCCTTCCCTTCCCTTCCCTTCCCTTCCCTTCCCTTCCCTTCCCTTCCCTTCCCTTCCCTTCCCTTCCCTTCCCTTCCCTTCCCTTCCCGTCCCACGGGAGTTCCGAGCTAAGCCCCCCGGAGCCGGGGGAGCCTCTCAGGGGGTGGCACTGCCTCAGTGCCCTGCGCTGATGTCCCACCTGTGCCCTGCCCCTCGCACAGGGTGTCCCCAGATAAAGCCCCCACTGTAGACTAGAGATCTTATCAATGGGAAGGTTTATAAAACACGGGGTTTATAACCTCCCGAGGGACCTGAGAGTATTTTCGGAACTGTGATGGAATGGATCCACGGGCAAACACCACCTGGAACGTGATTTAGTGATGTACCCACCCCAGAGCCCAGCTCGGTACCCCCACACGCTCTGTGAATTAAAGCTCCCCCCAGAGAGGAGCCCAGGGCTCGCACACCTCTGCACCGGCGGCTGTCGCTGCTCAGCGCCCCGCAGGACAGCAGTAGCGTGGGAGAAATTAAACCAAAAACCCAGCGGCTCTGAAATACAAATGAGGCAAAAAATGCCTTCACCCAACCAAGAGAGCTCTGCCTGCCCAACTGCGCCGGATACATAGATGGTGAGCAAACAGGATAGGATGTCTTCTGCCTTTTGTGAAATGAAAATAAATGAAAGGATCTAAGGTTTCAGGTCACTGATCCCTCTCTTCCCTATCTGTACCATTTATCGGAGGTAGAATATAAAGGTTCCAGGTCCTTTTTTTTTTTTTTGTCAGCGCTTTAATGGTTGTTTTTTCTCCTTCACCCTTTCATTTTCTGAATGAAAGGACCACTTAAGAACCTGTAAAGTAATAATAAGCTTATAATAGGAATATTGTTTTTCTGGGCCAGTGCAAATTCTTTCTGAATAGGTTGAAAGGATTAAAGTAAAAATGCAATTTGTAAATAGATCAGTCCTTTAATTAGTTTATAGTCTGATAAGAGATAATATTTTGCTCACACAGATAATCTATTATCTAAAGATCTCAGAGCACTTTAGGAACATCAATTAAGCCTTTAAAAAAAACAACCTTGGGAGATAGGTAAGTGTATTTAGATTAATTAGTGCTGCTGTGAGCAGCAGGCATTATTATTAGATTTAATTTAGTCCAATAATTGACTTATCTGTTAATGGACTGTAATTCATCTGAGAAGGGATCAAATCCATCTGATTAAATGGATTACATCGACTCAATTAATTCTATTAACTGACTTAATTTGCCATTTAATAATCCGATACACGGGGCCAGATCTTGGCCCAAAGAATGTATAAACCAAAAATTACACACCGGAATGATTATGACAGCAGAATTATGCATAGCAGAGCATGCATTTTTGCCTCGCGCACAGCATTTGCACACCTGGATAAAGCAGTCAGCGGGGATTCCTCTGGCTGGATGCCCCAGCCGTGCAGCATCATTCCTCCCTGAATCAGGGCTGGCTGCTCATTTTGCTGTACTTGGGGTGGCTGCTTGGAAAGCAGAAGTTCCCTGCCTGAGATCTGGCACTTCCCCTCTATTCTGGGCATTCTCTGCAACCAAGAGGTGAGAAGTTTTACAGAAGTCAATAAACCTTGCAATAAAAGTAACGTCCCTTCAAAGGCAGGACAGCCCTCCCATTTGGAAGATGGATATTTGGGGAAAAAAAAAAGAAAGGAAAAAATAAAAGGAAAAAAGAAACATTTGGACACTGTTGTGAATGTAAGGGAAGAAGGGAAAGAGGTGCTAAAACATTATTTATTCTGCTATCCTTAAAACGGGCTGGTGCTAATGGGCTGGTGATGAGCCCCGGGGACCTTCTACTGACAGAGCTTCCTACGTGAACCTGAACCTTGCGGGATGTCACCTTCTCCCAGGTGGACCGGGCTGCTAGAGGGAATTCACGGCTGGAGCCAGCTCACGGCACCTTTTCCCACATCTCTTGCCTTTTCTCAGACATTTCTTAGACATGTTTCTCCTCCTAAAGCCTTCCCCGAGCTGCAATCCTTAGGCCAAGCCACATCGCCCTCGCCGTGCCTCCCTCGGCAGGAGCCGGTGCCATCTGCGAGGGTGGCACAGCCCGGCCGGGAGGGAAAGGGCAGGGGACACTCGGCCATCTGCTGCGTGGGAGGTGTCCTCCTCCAAATGCAGACCTGACCGGCAAGAGGAGACGTGGATCAAAAGTTTGCAACTGCTGAGATCCCCAGACCCGGTTTAAGCCTCTCTCTGGTCTTGATCAAAGGTTACTCCATAATAATGCCTCCGGGGGAGGGGTTCCTGGCACATAATGAACCCTGTGTCATTGCCTTTGTGTCCAGGTTGGGCTGTAACACAGATGGTTCTCACTTCAGTAACTCCGCCATCTCTCCCCCCTCCATTATCCCAGACAGGAGCTTTGCGTGGTTCCATCCCGGCCTGCCGTGTCCCACCTCACTGTCTCCCCGATTATCATGCTCCGAGTGTTCCGTGCCAGGCAGGACCAAGAGCAGATTTCCATAACCTTTCACAGCGCTGGGGGCGAGAAGGCTCCGCAGCCTGAGGCGCGTTTGCTGAGGAGCCTCTGGGGACGGACAGGCAGGGATGGGCAGCGGGGTTTGGGCAGGCAGGGATGGGCAGCGGGGTTTGGATGGGCAGCGGGGTTTGGAGAGGCAGGGATGGGCAGCGGGGTTTGGGCAGGCAGGGATGGGCAGCGGGGTTTGGACAGGCAGGGATGGGCAGCGGGGTTTGGACAGGCAGGGATGGGCAGCGGGGTTTGGACAGGCAGGGATGGGCAGAGGTGTTTGGACAGGCAGGGATGGGCAGCGGGGTTTGGGCAGGTAGGGATGGGCAGCGGGGTTTGGACAGGTAGGGATGGGCAGCGGGGTTTGGATGGGCAGCGGGGTTTGGACAGGCAGGGAAGGGCAGCGGGGTTTGGATGGGCAGCGGGGTTTGGGCAGGCAGGGAAGGATTCGGGGGGCAGCGGGTTTTGGACAGGCAGGGATGGGCAGCCGGGTCTGGACAGGCAGGAATGGGCAGCGGGGTTTGGGCAGGCAGGGATGGGCAGCGGGGTTTGCAGGGATGGGCAGCGGGGTTTGGGCAGGCAGGGACGGGCAGCGGGGTTTGGACAGGCAGAGATGGGCAGCGGGGTTTGGACAGGCAGGGATGGACAGCGGGGTTTGGGCAGGCAGGGATGGGCAGCGGGGTTTGGATGGGCAGCGGGGTTTGGGCAGGCAGGGATGGGCAGCGGGGTTTGGGCAGGCAGGGATGGGCAGGCAGGGATGGGCAGGCAGGATGGGCAGCGGGGTTTGGGCGGGCAGGGATGGGCAGCGGGGTTTGGACAGGCAGGGATGGGCAGCGGGGTTTGGGCAGGCAGGGATGGGCAGCGGGGTTTGGACAGGCAGGGATGGGCACCGAGGTTTGGGCAGGCAGGGAAGGATTCGGGCAGCGGGGTTTACAGACAGACAGGGACGGGGGAGCGGGGTTTGGAGCCAGGACACAGGCAGGCAGGGATGCCCAGCTCCCGGCCCGGAATCTCGGGCTCTGCCACGGCAGCACCGTCGGCCACGAGCTCGCTCCCGCACGCGGGTTTGTTGTTCAGGCACGATTGCATATGTATGAAGGGGACAAGATGGGCTTTGACACATAAATTAGCACTTGTCAACTGCTCCCGGGAACACTTCCCCGCTGCACCCACTGTAAATGCCGCCTTCTTTCACCGAAGGAAATCACGGCACCTGACAACCACCGCGGGCAGGAGCCGCACCCGGGCGGCGGCAGCGCCCCGCGCCTCCTTTACACAGCAGAGCTCAGGAGGATGAATGCCATGAAATGACAAAATAATTAGCAGCCAAGTGGCACTTTTCCCTCCTGTAATATCGGGAAATTTGGGAATGACAAAGGACAAGGTTGATGAGACCTGAGGGCAGGGCTTTCTCTGAGAGACAGGCTGACCCTATACAAGTGCCTTGGGGGTCACTTCCTACCTGCCAGGTGCTCTCGGGCTGTCGCTTCCCTGGCACAGCTCGCTGCTCCTGCACCTACACCGGCAGTGGCAGCAGCTGCCCTCAGTGCTCAGCGTGTGCCTCATCCATCCTGAAGCTTCCTGAGGGAACAACTGCTCCCAGATTTTGACTTGCCCTCCTCGTAGCTCAGCTCCACCTCACCAATGCTGCACCCGACAATCCCACAGGAATGGTTGAGCCAGCAAACTCTCACATGCACCTCTGCAGCAGCACAGGAACACGCAGGGCTGCACATCCCAAACAGGGAATGTGGGAGAAACAGGACCGGTGTTCTCACCAGCCTTAAAATCCTCCCTACAGACAACTAGAGTGAAAGCATCTCAGCAGAAACCATCTCAAAATGAACTGGAATTACAGCATTTTTCATAGCCCAGCCTCTAGCAGCATTTCCAGCACGTTGCTTGTGTGCAAATCACAAGAAGAACAGCTGAATGCACTACTAGCACAGGGAAAACATTGTTTTTCCTGCAAGATCCACACACTCAGCTTGAGCTCTGGGGTACTCTCAAAGCTCTCAAAGTCTACTTTCAGTTCAAACCAAATATCCCACCACCCGAAAAGATGAGAGTGCTTCGTTCAAACACTGGATTCACCCAAACACGAGCCCAAGAGTTCATGGCAAAAGGACTTTCCCAACCACCAATTTAAGTATCATTTATGAATTGCAGTAAACGCACTGTGAGATCATAGCTTGGGGAGAAAGACATTCTTTTCTTCAACCATATACTAATAAATTGGGGCATGGCAGTACTGTGGGAACTGCCTGCAGCTGGGAGGCAGCACCAGCAAAACAAATGCCATGTTCTTAACCTGGAAATGTTATTTTTCCTTTTATTTTGGTTTTTATTGCTCTTATTACTTTTCTCCCAAGAGGTTCTTAGCACAACACCCTGGATTAAAGCCTTTGACCTGAAGTCTGGGGGATCCCAGTAAATATTCTTACCATATTTATCTCCATCTTCTCCTTTGGCACTGATCCTCCTGCCAAGCACTTGGATGTGCTTCCCACTTGTCCTGCTGTAGAGCTGATAGAGCCGAAGCTGCTTCCTGCTCACATCATCCCTTGCTCGCGTCTGATTCTCCACGTGTATCCGAAAATCCACATTCTCCTCAGCAGCAAACATCTGAGATGGGTGGGGAGTGGGGAGAGAGAGCAGAACAGACCATGAACACAACAAGGCTCTGGGGCAGAGGGACTGCAGACTCGCCTGCCAAGGGCACTGGGGGACTCAGGTTTGGCTGCCTTTCACCTGGCAGCACTGTCAGGCACTCGTGTGTAATTCCACCCAGAGCTGGCTCTCCACAGAAAAACAAACCTGAGCCATTACAATCAAACTGGGGGTTTTTGGATAAAAACTTCTGCTCGTCCCTGCTTTGATTAAATCCCAGTCAGCCACGCTGACCATAAATTAGGCTCCCCACTGCATATGCACAGCCTCTACCAGGTAACACGGGCACAAATCGGAGAGTGTGGACAGCCAAACCCTTCTCAGAGATTTGGTGCATCACTTTCAGCAGCTGCACTCATTCTCTGGGTTAACTACAAGAAAAAATCAAGGGGAAAAAACTCTTTGTGTTGCCCTTAGCAGTCTGGACTTGAACTTCACACTGGCATAAAATCCACTACAATAGAAGTGACACTTGTACTCTCTTCAGCTTAACTGTTTGACTATCTCTGCTCTGCAGTGAAGTCACCTCATGGTCACCAGCCATGGATGTATTTCTGCCCACCTCAAAAGGGCCACAGGAGGAGTGGTGAGAGTCAAACCTGCTTTTCCACCAGTGGCTGTGACCAGCAGGGGTCTGACAGCCTCAGCCACCTCATCTGTTTGTTCTGGCCAAGTGAGTAGATTAATCTTAGTTCACTAAACCATAAAATATTACCAAAAACTTTTAATTTTGTTTCCTATTTTAAGTATTCCCAAGAAATATCAAAACAGGAGTCCCACTTTTCCTTCCAAAGAGTCGTCCTGACTTGCCCAAGATCAGAGGACCAACAACACCGCTGTTCTCAAGGTGCCTTCCCAAAGGGGAGGCTGGGCAGCATGTATCCAAAAAGCCCTTCCCATCCAAACAATAGGAAAGCCCAAAAATTGCTCCACGAACTGTCCATCTATGATCTGTGGAGCATTTGCACCACAACATCCACACCATCCACTCCAAACTCACAGATGGACTGGGCAACATTTTGGTGGCTGACTCCCTTTACAGGACAATAAATGACATGAAACATGGCCTGCAAGCAAAAGTATTCTGCTGTATCAGTGTGGGGAGGGAACTGGCAATGAAAATGGAAAAGGTCAAGAAATCCTTGTTCAGATCTGCTCCTGACTAAAACACATAAAGAAAGTGGACACAACCCCCAAAGAGCCCCACTTCAGCCTCCTGCACATCATCTCATACCAACAAATACAGCGAAGCCTGAAAGTCCAAACCTCAATAGAACTTTGCAGCATTTCCAGTTATCCTGGGGACACCCAGGCCTGCAGCAGCAGGAGGGAAATCTCCCTCAGGCAGGCAGTGCTGCTGAGCACCAGACCCTGAGCCACAGCCCAGGCTCAGCACAGCAGCAGCAGCAATGAGGTTCCCAGTGATGCTGTGGGATTGCCTGCAGTGCTGGTACTAAAATCTGGGATTTGGGTATTTGATGTTTTGGGCAGAAGGTGATTTATCTCTGATTTGGCTGTCAGACGCTCATGGGGAGCTGAAGGCACAGGCAGAGGCTGGGCAGGGCAGGCTCAGGGCACTGCTGGGACATTGACAGCGATGTCAGAGGTGACAGACAGCGGTCACAGTATTTCCCACTCTCAGAAAACAGGCTGGCCAGGAGCTGTGAGCCAGAGCTGGGGGTGGGAGGAGGAGCAGCCCCTAGCCAGAGGGCATGGCAGGGTGCCACATCAGGATGCTGACAGAGCTCTGGCCAGCACAGAGCAGGGCTCTCCTCGCCCTGCCCTCCCCAGGCACCACAGCTACACCTGAGCAAAGCACACAGGACTTGACTTTTGACAGAAATCATATTAATTTCTTTTTCTCCTTGCTATGTCTTTTCTTGCTTTCTTTTCAAATCCCATTGTGGCAAAGGATGCTTAACTACCAAACGCAGAGATGCTCCAGTCATGCTGACAGACTGCCTTGTGCCCACAAAACAAGGCTATTCGCAGCTAAAATCCTGGCTCCATTATTTTAAGATTAAAACCAGATTTTAAATCAAGGTGACATCGTTACATTGCTTTCACCACATGTTAATGAATTTCACATTTTTCTAGAAAAAAAACCAAAACAGGTGGGATTTGAAGTGGGGGGAAGGGGAGGTTGCTTTGCTTTTTTGGAAACTCCCAACAGAAAATGCAACCTGTTTTCCAAAACACGTTTTAATTCTCTTCTAATTGTCTCTGGAGCACTCATACTGCAGAGGCCCCAGCCCAGAGCTGCAGTGCCCCAGTGGGCCCAGGAACACCCACAGATCATCCTGCACAGTGCTCAGCTCCAGCATGTCACCAACACACCTGTGCACCTTTGTCACTACTGTCCTACCCAAAGTCAGCTAATTAAGCAGCCCTTCCCTCTGCAAGAAGGGCACCAGCAGCACAGGGGGTCACATCTCCTCGTCCCCTGTCCAAGGAGCTGGCTGGCATCACCCTTAGCCAAGCCCTGAAGCAGCTGATGCAGGAACCAGCAGGTGATGCTGACCTTAAAATACAGTCAGTCTAGCGTGTATCACTCCACCACTTTCCTAGAAGTGCCCAGCTCTGACCCAGGGCAGAAATCTTGGAAAAGGAACAGGCTACAGGTTCCCCTTGCAGCTGAGCTGTCTCCTGGCCGGAAGCCGTGGTAAGAGCAGCAGTGAAACCACCCGGATTTAGCCACCTGCTTAAAGATAAGCTCACACTTAACCACCCTGTGGAAACAGGATGCTCTGCTGGAGGGTGGCCAAAGGGAATTAACCATGCCAGTTCAGACTGCAGCCCTGCAGCAGAGAATATCAATACTCAAAAAAAAAAAAAAAAAAAAAAATCACACAGGGTTGATTTAATGAGATAAAACTTGTTTGATCATTGCTAAAAACCATTCTCACAGCACTCCTTCTCTACAGGGTACACTCCCTCAAGCAGCAAACCTCTCTGAGATAAGGAACTCCATGTATAAATACCAAAAGAGAGACTCTTCTATAAATCTCATAAAAATTAGTAACATATGTCTCCTTTGGCAACTGATTCCAACACTCAGTCAGGGAGGTCACCTGAAACCAAGCAGACTCACCCTCAAACACACCTGAATGCAGAAATATCTTTAAGTCCCTTGAACTGAAGGGCTTTCACTCCTGTTCACCAAAGCAAGTTTTCCTTTTTTGTTTTCGCTCTCAAAATGCTGTTACAGCACATAACAGATTATACACAAAACGAGGCCCTTTTTTGCCTTTCAGTCTGATCATCCACACCTCCATGTAGGCAGCAAAGCAGACCCTGGGTCCAGAGCTCCACACAACAGGGAAGGGGTGCTTGCACCTTCTAGCTCCTGAGCAGCACTGTGGGACACAGGAGACAGGCCTCCTGCAGGGATTTGGGGCTGTATTTTGGCCTGTCTGCCATCTGTCCAACTGGTATGGGCTGCTGTCTGTGCATGGCGATTTCAGCATCTCAGCACAGTGGTTTTGTGTAACCCCATCTCATTCTTTGGCAACAATTTATAACCTGCAAAATCCCAGTTGTCCAATCAGAGCATTGAATTTAGTTTCATTTTCACTCTTCTCTTTTCCTTTTCCATCAGTTCCTTATCCATTTATTATTTATTTTTCACTACACCTTTCAGTGATAATATCCACCTAACAAATACAGCTGGCTATCCAGAGCTTATACAAGGGAATAAATAGCATTTCTTTTAAAAACAACCATCAGCTCAAGCCCCAGAAGGAACAGAAATGCCTCACTCATGAAGGAAGCTGCTCTCCTTTGTCTGTTGTCCTTGCCCAATCATTCAAGGTGGAGCATTCAGTCCTACCTCCTTTCCCAACAGCCAAAGGAACCAGAAATGACATCTGTCTTCCAGCAAGTCCACAACAGGAGATTTTCATGTGCTTTTTTGCTAGATGAGTCTCAAATAAGAGTGGAATTCATTCTGAACAGCTTTACAATGATCCTTCAGCTTAAAGAATGACTCCCCTCTTTGTTAAATCCCAGACGGAGGCTGAGGGAAGGACCATTTTGCTGATGCAGCCTAAGGTTTCACTGAGCATTAATCCAAGAAAAGCTCAGGAGCGGCAAAAGCCTCCAGCAGCAGCACTCTGATGTCAGCCCTGCACGGGCTGGTGCCCCATCTTTGCACTCACAGATGCCTCCAGTGAATGGAGCCATCCCAGCCTCGCCAAGGTCAGTGAAACCCTGGCTGTGCCAAGCCACGTCTGCAGGATTTGGCTTTCCACCCAACCACCCTCCACACACTTTGGAGTTTTCTATTTCAAGCTTTCCAGTAACGGGGGTGTTAATCTGTTATTGTTCATGTCACAAAGCGTTACAGCATGAGATGTCCAAGGCCCACAGCATATCCAAGCTAGCTGGGAGCTGGACTTGAGAATTTCCTGGTGTTTTGCTATTTATGCTATGGAGCACTCAATAGAGAGCTACCTATGTCATTCAGCCACATGTCATTCCCCCAGCTGAACCAGGAATACAAAATCCCTCTAGCTAAGGGCCATACCAATTGCAAAAGATAAACAAATCAGGCTATTCAAAGTCCTCTCAAACCCCATCTGATAAGCAGGAAATACTTATTACCTTTCAGCCATCAAATCAACCTAATATTAATGATTTTCTCCATGACCTAAACACATGAAAGTTAACTCAATAAGGTCAACAAGAGGATATCCAAGACAGATCTCCCTCTCAAGTCCTCAAAGGCAAGTAACAAACCACTTTGCTTCCATGACTTTGGCAGAATTCCTGTGTGCAAATCACAGCAGGATTTCCTAGCTCCCCATGACAGCCACCCTCAGCACACACTGAAACACAATCCGGTCCTTTTTCCTCCATTTAACTGCAAAGTCAATCCACTACCAGGATGTTGTCACAGAGCCTCCCAGAGCCAGATGGGAGTGGATGAGCAGTGCTTGGGCGCGGTTCCTTCCCTG